TTCGTTTTAGATCTTTTGTGAGAAGTGTTGCCAACATGTATTCTACAGCACAGATATGTAGATAAACTTGACTAGGCCAAAACGGCTGCACAGCATATGCTGCAATGAGTGAAAATGGGGGCGCAGATGAAAACTGTTGTGGAACCGCTGCAAATAAATGACATCAACACGTCCCATTTGCATTCTGCCTTTTCAGCTATTTTCATCTTTTTATCTGTTTGCTTCTCTCCTCCTCTCTGCACTCACTAGACAGTATTTTAATACAGCTGAATTAGTAGTTAGCAGTTAGTAGCTTATTTGCCATAATGGAGGCGAGCCTCAGTGTATAGGCCCACAGTTTGCACCCATACAAATTCCTGCCATATACTAGGTTCATACCTAGGCTTGTTTGGAAAAAAGTCTCTAAAATCTGGTGAAAAATGTGCCACATTGACAACACAGCAGGCTGCTAACACTAAATCAATTTGAAGGAGTAAGGGCCATTAGGAAAACTCAGTCAGTCAGTCAGAGACATTCGCCTTGATAGGGCAGGCTCCAATGTTGCGGTCCGGCCAAAAATTAAAAAGTAAAAAACCCACTCCTTCGAGACTTCCTCTTTGATTTATACAGATAAGCAAATTCTTCTGTATGTTTAGTCTTAAAAACAGGATGAATAATACAAAGAGGTGAACGTCATTGTCCAATGCAATTTGTAAAATTTTAAACATTCAACTTGCAATCTCACTTCCTAAATGTGTATCCTTACTGCTACCAGCAGAGCCAAGTGTTGGCGTAAATGTGACTGCATGACACAGTCTGGGCACATTTTTATATTTGTGCAGTCAGACATCCCTGTGATAGGGTGCGGTCCTGGTGGTAAAGTTTAACCAACACAGTTTATAATGGTACGTTCTAGTTGAGTTACTTTATGTAAAGTTATTGTAAGAATGAAAAGATCATGTTAATGGCATGATAACGTGAGAGATTTTAGACACAGCAATAATGTGAGAAACACACTTCACTGATAAATGAGTGTGAAAGACACAAACTCATCTGTTTTCAGCAGACTGACAGACGTGAGACTGCCTCACATTTCATAAAATGAAATAACATATTGACACACTTTTTGCCAACTGACAAATTAATAATTCCCTTTAGAAATAAAAAAGAAAACAGAGGCAACACAAAGAACATGTATTAATTTTTTTTAAATAGTACATAAATAGTACATTATAATAGTAATTAGCTGCTGTCAAAAATGATGTAAACCATGACTGAGCCAGTTTTCCTCAGGCAACAGGCAACAATGGCATCAGTCCAGATATCAAACACAAGTTGTTGTTTGGATGTTGCATTCGCTTTTACCGTTAGAGAAACACAGTTCACATGAGTTCATGAGTCAAGTTCAACTTGGACAAGAAGAAACTATGTGAAGAATTTGTTAAAATTACTGATTGGTGGATGCACATTTTTGGGACATTTTACAGCTGGGTGGATTTTTTTTTAGCTTATACTAGTTTTTTTGGACAATGTGAATTTGTTTCTTCTACATTTCCATTGCATTGTATGTTTTCTTATTGTGCAAATAAACCTCTCTCAAAGAGTTCTCATTTGATAGTGAAGATTTCTTGGTGCAAGCTATTTTTCAGATTTTTTTTTTAACAAATTATAAATATAAAAAGTGGTGGAAACAAAATCAACCCTTTCAATAAGTGGTGGGACATGTCATCGGACATGCTTTCACTGGCACTAGCAGCCGTGTTGTGCAAGGCACAAGGTCTGATCCAGAATTTCTCAATGAGGAAGTGAAAGTATTTGTGCTTACAGCCCCATTTTTCCATTTTTTTTTTTTCACTTTTTATGTGGAAAAACCATGTTAAACAAAATATTAATCATAGCAGAGTATTTTCACATAGCAAAACAAAACATGTCTGGAGAGGAACTGAATTGTTTGGTCTTTACATTTAGCATGTTAGCATAGGGCATGTTAATGGTGGCATGTTAACATGTGTGCAGCTGTTGACATGCTAAACATTCAGCATGTAGCGTTTAGCATGTTAGGGATGGCAGTGTCAGTCTGTGAGTCACCACTTTGATCCAGGCTGAAATATCTCAATAACTATTGATTGAAATTAAAACATTCGTGGTCTCCAGAGGAAGAATCACTGACCACTAGCCATTAGCATGGCTGTTGTCTTGTTTTATGTTATCTAACGTTAGCATTTATTTGTTTTATCAGTATCCTGTCATAAACTCAACTATTACATGAGTGGGAACTTTGACCCGTCAGTAGAGCCTGCTAAAAGGAGACATAACCACTAACAAATTAAAAAGAGGGGGGGGGGGCTTTTCAATGTAGTTCATTGGACAGGTCAGATTGTTGTGTTGCAGGCATTCTATCTGTTACTGCAGTTAAATGAAATCAGTTCATTTGAGAAAGCACACAGAAAAGTGAAATAGCTGTGGTCTGGAGGCAGAGAAGTGGGTTTGTCAACTGCTTGAGGCAGCAGGTGAGTCTGTGGTTGTACGTGTGAGTTGAAGCAGGGCGTTGCTGCCAAAAAAAAAAAAAAAAGAAGAAGCATTTGCAAACTTGCGAATAAAAGATGATAAAAATGCCAATGTTTTCAATCACTGCATTTATATTCAGACTTTTTTTGGTTTTAGGATTTTTGAAGTAGAAGACAAAAGCATTGGAGATGGTGCGTAGTGTTTTAACAAAGCTCCCTACATTAACTTACAGGTTGCTTCTCTTTCATTAAGCTTCTATGTTGTTATCAACCGACACTTGATGGGTGGATTTAACAACAACAAAACTAAGGAATTAAGTGTTAATTCAATATTGTGCAACAGACACAAACACTGCAAACATGCTTTTCCTTTGACAAAAAAAAGACAGTTGTAGTTTCATGTGAGCTGAATGATTAATGTGGATGGTTTTGAGGAGGGACTGGGCAAGGTGTGACTGGTTTCTGTGTGATGTAAAGCATGAATGAGGTATGCACCGTTTTATTGAGATACTCCTGCGAACAGGAGCGTGTTCCACTTACTGAAGGGAACATTCAGATTTTCATAAGACTTGAAATGAACTCAAACCTGCAGACTTAGATTGATTAATGGCCTGTATCTAGTGAATGACATCTGGTATGCAGTGCATATGGCGTGAGTTCAACCTGCAGGGCCTTTGCCAAAAACCACATCAATAAGTCTTTTTGACACATTTACTGTGTCACATTCTCCAACTACTTTTCATCTAAATGGGAATGACTTCTCAGGAGGCAAAATGTCCATTTAAGACTGAGTACGAAGTTCCTCACAGACACAAATAACTGCAGCTTGTCTTGGAAACAGCAACAGTTTTTTTCAAAAGCACTGCAACCTGAGAATTAGCCTGCAGTGCTTTTACCTGGGTGTGTAACTCTCATGGATAAGCCAACATAAAATAATATCTCATTTTCTATCTCTCATAACAGAGGGAGGGGGGCTGTGGTGACTCATCAAGAATCAGGTTTTTCTCTCTTTGTTTTTGTATTCTCTCTCAGGCCCAAACTGGTTTCTGCTGCGTCTGAATATGCCCCACAGGTGTGGGACACACCCTTTACAGCAAGAAATATTTCATGCAACACGCATGTTCATATGCTCTGACAGGTCTGGAAATTTACAACAGAGAATTCTGGACTCAATACTGAGCAGAGCTTTTCTGTCATTAACAAGATATGTAACCACTGTATTCAAATCAGTGGCTTCATGGTCTCTTCGAGACTGTAACTCAACTTTAATGATCTTAATGAAAAGCCCATGGGCTAACAATTAAGCATGTAACTGCTAGTGGTTTGGTAATAATAGAGATAATTACAGTCCTCTGGGGATCAAACTACATTTCCTCATGTGATGCCCTCAGTCGTGAAGTTTTCTGTTCTTGTGAATCAAATATCTACAGAGTAAGTGCAACATGTGCAGGAAATTTTCTCACTCTACACGACAACTTTTTACTTTTACAATTAGGCATGAAGTTTGACACCAGGAGGGCAAATTTGACAGTAGTATTTGGACTTAAAATAGGACTGTCTGTATGAATGTTAGGCATGAGCTGCAAGAGCCCAACTATGGCGCACAATGTTTTTTTCTTTTTTTCGCCCATTTTTCTGTCTTGTCTAATCATGCAGTATAATTAAAAAATGCAAGGTCTGAACAGTGTGGTGAATGAATAACATCTTCTCTGCCTAAACTTGATATTGCTGTCCTCCTCCCAAAGCTGCTGAAGCAGCATGAGTCACTAATTCAGTTTAATAGCACTGATATTGGAACATGAAAACAGTGAAAGAGGGAATATCTCAAATGTTGAATCATCTGTTGAAACACATTGACTCATTATATTATATTCTCAGGTGAATAGGTGAATCAGTTATGTCCGGATGTCGGAAGATCTCAAGTCTCCACTTGATTCAGCTCCACCTAGATGAAGAAGCTTTTTATGAGTCAAGGGCCTGACCCCACTGAGCCAAATCTTCAAGTCATCATTTACTTTACATTTACAGCAGGACACATATATATTCATATATTCTTTCATATTTTTCATAAATTTTTTTATATGTATTTTTTTGTGGTATTTGCAGATCATTGTTTATTGTCTTGTGTCTTAGATAAAGTAATTAAAAGTTTCTAAATGTCTTTTGTGCAGCAACAGTCTGTTCCTACTCCAATAAGGTCATTTGATCCAACAAAGTAGTGCAAGGACTATTAGCACTGAGAAAGACAGACACCTGGTGACGCCTGGTGGTCTTAAGTGAAATTACACCCTCAATACCACATGACACTTAAAACCAATGTTAGAATCGGATTTATTTCAGTATATTTTGATGATTTTCGCCAGAGCATCTGCTCAGGAAAAACACAGGAAACACCAAGCTTGAGCTCATGCAACAAAAACATTTTTTATATTATTGTCTTTCTATGACCTAAAACAGACTATCCAAAGAGTGATGTGTTTTAGCAACTAGGTTAATCTATGGTTGAGTTTTGCCAATTAAAAATCACATCTCCATCTTTGTTTTCTGGCCTTTAATCATGTTTAATCACACTTATCACAGTGAGCAGCTGCCAAGGAAAGATCATCACTTGCTGCAACCGTTGCTATATGACGCAATCAAAAGAAATGAAAGAAAATGCCAAGGTAATCGCCTCAACAAATAAAAGTGCGTTTTTAAGATCATGTAGAGTAAGTACATACACTAAGTACATTACCCGTTGACTTAATTATTCATTAAGCAGATATTACAGGAGTTTATTAAAGACTACTTATGGGCCAAATCATTCTAAAAATGTAAGTGTTGTTGCAGCAGAGGTGAGTAGAGGTGTTACTGAAGGTCCTCCACTTGGGTGTCAACAACGGAGGACACCACCTTTCCATCAACAATCTCCTCCACGATGGTCTTCACTCTCCTCTCGATGTGAGGTTTATGCTCTGCAGAGGTGGAGAACAGACAGAATGCATCACAGAGTGAGGACCATAGTGTCAACATACTGTTACAGGATTACAAAGATGGTGTAGAGCAGTGCTTCCCAACCTTTTCCAACTCAAGGCCCACTTCAAAATCTCAAAAACATAGGTGGCTCACAATAATGTGGAGGCCAAATAATGTTTTTCTCAGAGCAATTTTTATTTCAATGATAATGATCAAACATTCAGGACTGAACTGAAAGAAGGGGAAGCTCAATTTTTCTTTTCTGTTTGAAGGGAAGAGATCACTTGTCGATTCACCATCTGTCTCTGACTCTTTCCCTTTAATTCTTTCTGTTGCTAACCAGTTATCTATTTTGATACTTTCCAGTTTTTGTCATTGATGTAATCTTTTAGTGCACAATCATAAAATTGTCACAGTGATAGGCCTTAATACGTGAAAAAAAATCTAAATCTAAGGAGTTTTTGCGCATTTTTTAAATGTTTTTCAAGATCATTTAGTTTTAAAACATTTAAAAAGATAATTTATATTTTAAAATTTTTATAACTACAATTTTCCACCAAAGTTGTACTGTTTTGCAAATTATTTCTCGGCCCACTTGCAATACCTTCAGGGCCCACCAGTGGGCCCCAGCCTACAGGTTGGGAACAACTGGTGAAGAGAATTGACTGGTAGAAACGATTGAGGATTCTTACCCTCCACTTTTTCCACCACCTTGCTGATGACGATAGCCCTATGGAGAGAATGAACATTATTTCAAACATATTGAACGGCTCCAGCTGTTGGCCTACAACTTCCTGATCAAACACTTTGATCTCTCACTTTTTCTCAACGTGCTCTCCCTCCAGCAGCCTCCTGTACTCTGCGATCTCCAGTTCCAGCCTCATCTTGATGTCCAGCAGCAGCTTGTAGTCAGCTTGCTGCTGCTCGATGGAGGCTATCAGCTGCTGCAGCTCTACCTCCAGCCTGTTAATGGTCATCTGCAGGTGGCTGAGCTGAGAGCCGTATCGACTCTTCACTTCTTCCAGATTCTGCTGCAGGCACTGAAGCTGCAGGACGGATGGGAATGATGGAAAGCTGTGAGTGTGACCAGAGGAAACAACTGCCCTGTCTGCCCGAAGGCAAATCTTAGTTTCGTGATGTATCTAGACAATACAACTTAATCCAAGCGTGCTCAGATAACTCTTCACAGGAAAACTGTGCCTTTGCATTTTGTCGTCTACCTCTGTGCGGACACTTTGCCGATTTATCTCCAAACTCTGGTAGGTCCTCTTCAGCTCTGACAGCTTAGAGTAAGATGTCTTCACCTCTACTGTCCAAGAGGTGATGTCCGACTGGAGAGAAGTAACCTATTCACACACACACACACACACACACACACACATAAATATATACAATAAATCCCTTGACATTGTCATGTGTAAATTGTTTCAATTGTACTTTTCCTCCTGAGTTACTTTATAAATGTTCAGGCTCTCCCATCTCACCTTAGACTGGAACCATTTGTCGAGTTCCTGCTTGTTCTTCACAACCACAGCTTCATACTGCTCCCTGACTTCCTGCAGGACCTTGGTCAGATCAACAGACTCGGCACTGTCCACATCTACATTCACAGCACCAGACTGCTGGACCCTCATCTGACTCATCTCCTGCAGCGTGGAAAAGAAACGCATTTAACATTTGTGTTAACCCCCCCCCCCCACCCCCCACGGGTGTGCGTGTCGTGGCTGCGACCACCAAGAGATGGCGCCATTGCACTTCAGTCATACAGTATCTTCAAATACTACATCTCTCTGCAGCGGAATGGTTGTCACCTCCTTGTGGATGCTCTTCATGTACACCAGCTCCTCTTTCAGGCTTTCTATCTGCAGCTGCAGGTCACTGATGTTAAGAGTCAAGCTGTCACGGACTCCTCGGAGACGAAGCACATCGACCTCCACCGTCGTACGCATTGTCATCTCCATCTGATATCTACAGAGAGTGGTGATCGTTGTTTATTGTAACAACACTCCAAACATACACAGCAAACCAGTACTTTTGAACTCTTTTACAAAATTACAGGCTAGAATTACAATAAGGAAATTTGGTGGACTGACTGTGTATTCAGGTAATATTATTGTAGGGTGTAAATCTGTTTTAGCATGGAGTAACAGCGGAACGACAACCTACTTCATCTTAAAGTCATCAGCAGCCAGTTGAGCGTTGTCAATCTGCAGAAGGACACCTTGATTCTCTTGGCATTTCCTGGAGATCTAAAGGCAGGGGGAAAGAGAAATCACCATTTATTCTCTATGATCTTTATTTAGTCATATTCATTCATTTATATTTAACTTGAATTAGATCAATTTTCTCTAGATGTATTTCTACTGACATTAATTGTAATAAAATTTAACTGAAAGCCTCTATAGATGTGATTTCTACAGGTTCTACAACCCAAAGGCAAGCTGTAGCCATATTACCAGTGCTCTCTTGGTTTGGGATCACTGGAATAAAATTTGCTTGACATGTTGTCAGTGTGACGAACATAATTTAGCTCAAACTGCACCGAAGCTGCAAACACAGAAACGGTTGAGAAGCAAATATATATTTTTAACCACTGTGAACCGGTCCGCCATAATGACTGTTTTCTTTTGAACAGATTAAGATATTTATGTTGTTTTTTTTGTTTTTTTCCTGCTCAGCAGAGGAAGTAGACGAAGAAGAGTGAACAGCTGCTGACTTGTTAGACAATTGAGGAAATACATCTCTAAACATGAGGCATGAGACAATGTAGACAATGTGAGCGGCACCTTAGCTTGGAGGTCAGAGATGGTGGCGAAGTAGGCGCTGTAGTCTCTGGAAGCAGTCGGAGCTCTCCTCTCATAAAACTCTCTGATCTGCAGCTCCAGCTTCCTGTTGGCTGACTCCAGGGAGCGCACCTGCACACACAACCAGAGGCCGACGTCAACCAACGACAGATGGGGTCATTTGTGAAGCTCTTTCGTTCTGGCTCATAAATCCTGGGTGGCACTTGGAAGCAAATTACTCTCTTCCTAGATTCATTGGTTCAGGATTACACTGTACAGACAATATCCATTTGCACCCAGACAAAAAATATTGTCTCATTTACATGTTTTTTCATTCTTAGCATTGTGTAAATGTTGACGGTTAAGGTCACGGCTTTATTTGAGGGAGATAGCGGATCAAATTGTCAGTGATTGGATAATGATGAGTAAATTACACTCTATTCAGATATTCATTTGTGTGACATTGCTTTGGCTGTAATAGACCACACACATATGTTTCATGTCTACTTTACCTTCCTTTAATAAAGTCTATTGTCCTGCATCCATCCTCTGACTTGATGCTCTTGTCAGGACGGAAGGATTCAGATCCTTGACTTAATCCTTCATTTTACTCGTGTTTAAGTGAAGTGAGTATAATCAACAAAATATACGTAACTTTTCAAAAATTAAAGTACTTTTTATGACAACAAACATCATGGATTTATTAGCCACTGACTCTGTCACACTGCTGTAGGTGTGAGTGTGTGTGTGTGTGTGTGTGTGTGTGTGTGTGTGTGTGTGTGTGTGTGTGTGGACAGATCATATATTGTATTTTGCATTCAAGTCTAGGCAGTAGTAATTACGCAAATTGAGCCACTGCCCATCAACAGTTTTTATATAATTACAGTGTGGAGCCTGTGTGTCCTCTGAGTGGAAAGTACAGGAATGTGGGAGTGTTGCAGGTAGAAGTTTGCAGCAATTATCATCATCTTCATCATCATCATCATCATCATCATCATGGCTTACCTTCTCCAGGTAAGAGGCCAGGCGGTCGTTGAGGTTCTGCATGGTCAACTTCTCGTTGGTGATCACTGAAGTGTCATCGTTGGACCCCCAGCCAGATAACATGGTGGACTGGGAGATGCGGGTCCCGAAACCTCCCGCGCCCCCATACACGCTGGGCGTGCGGTTCTGGAAGGTGCCCGCGGTGGAGATGCGGGTCATGCCGCCTCCGACGAACTGCCTCCCTCCACTCAGGCTTAATGCCCCAGAGCTGGAGCTGCTGAAGGAGCTGTAGCTCCTGCTTTGACGCGAGAGAGATGTGGACATGGTGGGAGATGGAGGTGGATGTGCGAGTGGAAGCTGACCTACAGGTGGCGAGCAGAGCTGGAGAGTCTACGAGGAGTGACTGCTCTAAGACATGCTGGGTCTTTTATAGGACTCTGAGGGCGTCAGGTCCCATACCACAACAATGTGAGGTATGCAGATAATAGTTTTTCAACCGACTAATAGGTGTGTTCAGAAGCATTAGAGATGCTCTGTGGAGGACAGGTTGAATATCTAGTTAGGTGGCATGATGGCTGGCCAGATGAATTTCCAGCTAAGCATGAAAATAATTATTTTTTCCTCATTGTCAGTTATGCTTTGTGAGTTTATGCAAATGTACACCCATTTACAGTGTGTGTAGCCTGAAGTATCTGAGAGAAATGCTTTAAAGTCAGACTGTTTCACTTTTGATAAAAGAAAATAAAACAAACATCTGGATTCATCCGCACACAGCAGAGCCCAGTGTCTTCACAAAGTCAGTGCACAGCTGGATAACAAGATCACTCTCTCTGCATGTCCCTGTACCATCATCATTATCATCATCATCATCATCATCACTGTCATGTTGTTAATTACAGAAAATTCCTCCCCATTAATAAGAGCTTGACCCAGCTCAAACTGCAACTGAGTATCAGGATAATGTAATACATTACAAAATTAAATTGTCACTTTACTAAGAGATACATGTGCAAGGAAACTGGGAAACTAAGGTGTGTTGATACTTTAAACTGGTTCTTCGTCATTAGTTTTCTTTGGAACAGCTGAATATATTTCTGTTCATTCCACTGAAGGAAAGTTTTTTGACAAAGGATAAAACTGGCATAACAGATCATTGAGGAAATACGTCTCACCAAACAGGACTCAAGCACGCACACACACACACACACACACACACACACACACACACACACGCACACACACACACACACACACACACAGAGATAACTTTCCTTTTCTCAGGAAAGTTATCTTACGTGCAGCACTGAGGTGATCTCCGGAACACGATCATTACTGAAAGCGACAGATAACACTTTGCATGGAACTGTTTACTTACATCCACATTTAAGACATTTATTTTGAAAAAGAACCCCACTTTAGATACAACAGGAGCCATAGTTCAAAATTGTATGTATCACAATAACCCAGGGGACTCCATAGGTTAGTTATTTTAATTTTACAGTTTTTCTTTCTACAAACTCTGTGTAAATCAGAGTGGAATTTGCTACATTCTGGTATGTCTACATCTGCAAAGAAAATCAGCATGTATAAACTGCCAGTTGAGACGTTAATGACCTCTATGAAAGACGTGTTCCTGGTGAGGAGAGGGGGCAGGTGAGGCTGAATCCAGGTGGTTTTGTAACTGCGTGGGACGGCGTTTCACCCTTCCTTCTGTCCCAGTCGCAGGGCAGTTTACAGGCCGTCCTAGGAGGGTGTCGCTTTTCCTTCCAGCTTACTCTCCATTTCTCAAACCCACAGAGGAATTCCTCTCCTCATGGAGGGAGAACATTTATGATCAGATGTCTCTCTTGGGCACAATGAATGCCGGATGTCTGGACATACAGTATATGCAGAGGGTTGTTAGGATGAATAATAAAATCAAAATATCAACATCAAACTATTCTTTCCCAGATGATGATGATGATAATAATAATAATAATAATCATCATCATCATTATCATCATCATCATAATCATGAAAAATAACAGAAGAAGTGAAAACAATAAATGGATAAGATCACATAAATAGGAATAATCAGTATCAATAACAGCCTATGTCAAATGTTTCCAAATGCTTTCACAAAGAGAAAAGTTGTAAAAAGGAATTTTAAGGAAGTTCAGGACATGTCTGAATTCAACAGGCAAGGACTTCTGTTGGGTGGGGGCTCTATTGGCAAAAGCCCAGTCACCCTTTGTCACAAGCTGTGACCTGGGAGTAACCTGCAGGGCTCCATCAGCAGATCTCTGTGGTTGAGAGGACGCATACCAGGTCAAGGTACCATAAAGGTATTTACGAGCAAGGCTAATGAAGGCATTAAAGGTGAGTAGTAAAATTTTGAAATCAATTATAAATCTAACAGGGAGCAAATGTAAAGAGGAAAGTACAGTGGTGATGAGATCATGTCCCCTTTGTCCAAGTAATAAGCCTGGCAGCAGCATTTTAACTGGAGACAGTGGAGTGCATTACAATAGTCAAGCCAAGTAGAGATAAAGGCATCTACAACTTTTTGCAGATCAGCAGTTGATAAGAAGGACCTAATTTTAGAGGTCATCTTGATGTGAATGAAACCAGATTGACTTGTTAATCAAAACAGAGGTTAGTGTCAAAGATTGCCCTTGGATTCATTACATACGGGGTGTCATGTGGCGTAGTGGTCTAAGCAGGTGCCCCATGTGTAGAGGCTACAGTCCTCGCTGCAGTTGGCCCCGGTTCGAGTCTGCATCAGACAGCCTTTGCTGCATGTCATTCCCCATTTCCTGTCTCTCTCTCTACTGCACTATCAATAAAGGCATAAAAAGCACCCAAAAAAAATATACTTCAAAAATAATTAATTTGATATGAGAAGCAATGTTTACATCACAATCTCAAATATGGCTTTGAATCAACATGTTTCCTGCAGTGGACCAGAAATCATTTTTATTTTGCCTTAAAAGTCTGTTCATTGTGGATTTTCCGAGCTCGGATAAATAAAATATTACTCGATAATTTTCAAACTTCTCTTTTCTTCATGTTGCTGTTTTTATGAACTTTTTGGGACATCGCCAGAAAACTGAAAGACAGATAGAGATAAGCTGCTACTGTATCACAGTATCAAAGATGATGAGGAAATTGTGGTTTTACCAACGGTTTATTCATACTGAGAGTCCAGGAACTGACAAGCTTTCACCAGCTTAAAACTTCTGCTGCGTATTATTACTAAAATAAACAAATACCAGCGATGAGAATATGCTACAGCCTTGACTTACAAATTGTATGTGTGTGTGTGTGTGTGTGTGTGTGTGTGTGTGTTTGTTTGTGTGTGTGTGGATGCTTGTGGGTGTGTATGCATTAATCCGACCTGTCTACAGTTTGTTTGGTATGTTTATCAGAGGCATTCATCACATGTTACTGATGGGTGTGTCACGTCAGTCTATTGAGAGCACAAATGTGAAATCTTGCCGTCTGTAATTGTTTCTCCAGCACAGGATTATTATTATCTAATGACTGAGGCCGTACATGTGACACTCCAACAACCTGCAGGATCACATGACTGCAGGTGCATGCTTTAGCTTACTGTGGGGCTCCTCACATTTTCTCATTAGCCAAGAAAATCCTCACGTACATTGTCTGCTCCCCGGTGAGCTGCTGTCACTCTGGCTCAGAGGTGGATGAAGTCAGTGCTTTCACTGACTGGTAGGAAAGAAGTGAGGGCTGCGTTCATGTTGTCCCTGCAACATTGTAGAAGCCGCACATCACAGACTGTCAGGGGAAACGGGACACACCATAACTGGGCCACTTGTTGAAAATCCATAAACAGCTCTAAAGTCAACCATGCTCTGTTGTATACTTACTAAAAGGGTGGTGTGGACGTCATTTGGAAAATCCAGGGCACACACTCCCCCTATCACTGAATTGTGCACATTGTCTCTCAACTGAGATTTACCATCACCCACCTCTATTTTCTTAAAATGACAAATGAGAAGCTGTAGTGTTAACATGAAGGCGCCTGTCTTGTTCCAACAAGTGTGGATTGTTAGAGCAGTAGTGGCCACTAATGCTCAAAGTGGAGATATCTGATTACAGAAAGCCCATTGATAACTTTTTCAGCCCACTGCCTCACACACCAGTAAGTGAAGAACAACTCAGTGGCTGCATAGTTACATCAGATTCTTCGTACTGGTTGAAAAAGGCTCTAAAGTAGTATTGGATTTCCAGTGTAAATACATTGATTTGTTTTATTGTTATTGCGGGGCAAAAAAGGCCTTTCCAGGTGAGAGAAAAGCATAGTAATGGCTTCGTGGATATAGTGGTCCATCGTTTCCTGTACGCACATCCTCCCGCTGCATCCGCCTCCCAGTCAATCAGTGAACACTGTTATCAGTCTTTGATTTTAGGCCACATCACTCGCACACCAAACTTTTGGTATAAAAGGGCTCGGAATCACCAGACTTGCACCAGAAGCATCACTCCTCTTGAATCTGTTGTGAACCCATCTCATCTTCACAGGTAAAGTCACTTTGTCATTTTCAATTGTTGTTATTATAAATCATTAATTCTTACCAAAAATCTGTTCTTTGTTTTTCTGTACACAGACATGTCAGGTAAAGTTATTGTGGTGTTTGCACTGCTGGTTGCATTGCTCGTATCTGGTGCAGCCTCCTCACCTGAGTCCTCTGCAGCTGGAGATGCCAAAGAGAGAAACACGCTACAGCGGCTTCTGGCCAAGAGGGAGACAGTGAGAGACACGGCTCGTAGACAGGGGCTGGCTCCTCAGACTCACTCGTCACGGATGGAGAGACGGGCACACCTGTCGGAAGACGAACGAGAGATAATGACCAAGCAAATAATGCAAGCAATTTCAGGTATGCTGAGGGCTGGGTTGTGAAAGTTATTTTCTCATTGGCTTTGTGCTTCACTTGTGTCAGTTAGATAACTTGGTAAGCAAGCAGAGATCAAAGATGCTCAGATTATTGTACTGAAGCCTTGTGTGTGGTTCACATAGGACTGGTTTGTTCACAGAGGTGATGAACTCTGAGTGCATGTCAGATCGAGACTACCAGGGCTGGGTGGACTTCGGACGCCGGGACGCTGAATGAGACACAACAGTGAAAACAACAAGCTTAGAGCTCATGCTGCTTTTTGTTCATATTTTATATTCAGGAAATGTTTTACTGTCCTTGCAACTTCATAAATAAACTATTTGGCAGAATTATTACGGTCGTTTTATCTGTTGGTTCCTTTCTTGTCCAGAGAAATAGAGACATACAGAAATGTACTGGATGAAAATGCAAAGTTTTATTCACAGGTGGTACAATTTATACACATACATATACAGCTGTGATGCTAACAGACACTATAGCAAACAGTAGTGCAGAGAAACAGTGGTTTGGTTGATTTAAGTCAAAACACAACTTATTATTATAACCTGTGTTTATGATTTCTTCCCTTTTTAATTCACGGTATCCTATGCCTTTTAGCTACAGGTGATTGAAGTAACATGCCGTTTAAATAATTATGACCTCTCTTCTACTTGTATTTCTTTAACTAAGGATTCCCCTTAACACCATGGAGAATTCACTTTGAATGCCTGACACGATTTTGATTTCATTTATATCCCAGCAGTTTCAAAATTCCTGATGACATGAAATACAGCAGATTTGTACAAGCAAGGTTTTCAATCAACGCGAACAGTAAATACACAAATATTGCTTCTAAGAATCCCATTCACTGTCTTTGATGCAGCAAGGCAAACCTGATTAGTCTATTTATTCATTTTTTTTGGTGAGGTTTGGCTCAGGATAATAATAATAAGTCGACAAAGTCAGACATTTCAACAGCTCAGGGGTGATGCTGCACGTAGCCTAACGACACATGAAAGCAGGTGATGAATTGTGGGGCAGACAGCTAAAGGAACATGTCAACATTATTTAGTTCAGTCAGTATATAATCTGTCCCAGTGTGGAGCAGATGTCATCGCAGTGCTTCTTGATCAATGTTTCCTTCCAGTATATTTGACAATCTTAGATATAGCATGCTTTTCTCATTGTAGCAGCTGATAAGCAGGAAGATCAGAGTGTATTTTAGTGCATTTGAAAGATCTTCAGTGTGACAGCATTGGTTTGGTTTGTGGTTTTAACTAATACTAATTTACTGCACGTGGTCTTTTTTATTAATTCTCCCAAATGACAATGTTGTTATTAATACATAACTTGATTTTTCACTTTGGAAACTAAAAAAAAATGACACGTGATGAGGTTTTTTTTTTTTTTTAAACCAGTGGTTGGGAAAACTGTAAAATGATAGTCACAAAACAGTATAAAAAGGTTTTTTTTGTTCATGGCGTTTCTTTTTTGTGTAAAAAGCAGAACAGACAGGTGATCGTCCTGAGATGAAGATGTTACACACACACACACACACGCACATAGACACACACGCACTGACACACACACACGCGCGCACACAACAGTTTATCTACTGTACATGAGTTCATAGAAAAGAACAGTACTAAACACTACAGACAACTCAAAGTATGGCTCCGGTGCACTCTGTGGCTTCTGTTTTCAAGTCACCAGTGCTGTGGACCCTGAACTGCACAGTGGGAATCACATGGCTTGACACAAAGTCACTACGGTGAATGAGGGAGGAGTAAGTGGTGGATCAGCCGTCATCAGACTTGCAGAGGATGCCTCACCGCTTCTCTCTCCTTGCCGCTGCGCCCTGTCATCCCCCAGGCTGCCACTCTGTGCAACCCGAGACCCTGAAGCTTCCCCACTAAGTTCAAGCTGAAAATGTTCCTCCTTCCTTCCTCGTTCGATTTCGAGCCTCCATCTTTGTCTTTTGCTGTGGAGAATGAAGGTTTTGTACTATGGCTGTAGTGCAGGCTGCGGTGGGGATAAGGGGAGGCTGAGATGCCGCGCTCTTTCAGCAGCTGCAGGAGTCCCAGTGATGACGTGGTTATATTTGTTGTGGCTGTAGTAGTGGTGGTGGTGGTCCGGCCTCCCCAGTCAAAGTGCTGCTGGTGGGGTGGAGATGAAGTGCTCACGTGCTCACAGTTCCGACAAGCTGGCAGGCCGAAAGAGTGAAGGCTGCCAACAGAAAATAATAATAATTAAAAACAAAACTAACACAATAGATCAGAAAACCAAGCTGGTTGCACAAGTTGCACAAACATGCAAGTCCATACACAAGCAATAGATGATGTTTTCAGTTGTTATATTGCTGTTAGTTTTGCTCTGTCATTGCTGTAAGATGAATAAACATGATGATTAGTTTGGTAGGGTGCCAAGACGAAAACCTGGAAAGGTCAGGAAACATTAAAACATGTAGTCTAACAAGTATGTGTGGGGAGTACAAACAAGTTATACCAGCTGAGACATTTAGACAGCTCTATACCATTATGAAAAGTGTTAGTAGGAAGTGAATTTGCATTTTCAGAGGCACAGACATTTTCCCATGACCGTTCAATTAGGTCATAGCAAATTTTTAACATCTGACTCTTTTTACAAAAACTTTTGGAAAAGTTAGGCAGAACACCTTCTTCGATTGTTAACCAATGTGTTATTTAGTTAAACAAGCAAGGTGCAGCGCCTCCATCGTTAGTATTCAAGACATTTATCGTGCATTCATTGTGCATCTGTAACCGCACAACTCTTACTTTGCCCTGAAGGCTCCTTCTAGAGTTGGAGAAAGAGCCTCGACAGACGTTTTCTGCCACTGTGGGGGTAAAGAGCACAAGTTGGTAAGGTGATAGATAAAGCAGCAGGATGGAAGAGAGGAGATCTGGAACATCCACTCTTGCTTCATGAAAGTGGCATGGCGAAAACTAGGTGTGAAATAACGAGCATGTCATACTCTTTTCAGGAGTTCCTTGTTCAGAGTTTACGGCAGCTCAGGTCCATCGCATCAATATAAAATCAAGCTCAAAGCTCAAATTTCACTTTACGATCCACGATGGAAATTCACCTGCTCAGGGCTGTGAGAAATACACAAAGACAACACAACATGCTCAAAAAGAGAAAAGGCCCTGTATACTCTTACCTTGTAGAGAAGGAGGGGATGAGGAGGGAGGGTTGGAGGACTTGGCAGGTGGTAATGGTATGTGTGGGAGTGGTCTGAGGGAGGTTGGGACCGGATGGAGAGACTGTGAGGTCATGGGGGGAGAGAGGCACGTTAAGCTACACACGAAAGCCAATGAGCACATCGAATGAGCCACTACAGCGGCAAATAAGGTTGGAAGCTACTCCAATACTGTACAATGAATGGCAATGAAGGCTTGAATAAGTGAAGAGAATATGGTTTTTAGAGGGAATTTGACAAAGTGAACAGGAATGACAGAGATAGCAGAGCTGTCTGAATGCAACATGTGTACAATGTTTTATACATGTTCCCTACCCATGCCATGCGCTTCAGAGAGATGCGATAGGTCAGGCTCATCCTCCTCCAGGTCGTTGAGGCTGTAGACGTGCTGTATGTCGACCTCAAGCTCCCTGAAGTCTTTCGTCAGGACGCCCGGGCGTGGATGCAGGATGCCTCCCAGGTTTGGTTTGGCCAACTGCTGCCACTGATGCAGAGTGACCGAGCCTGACGAGTAGATGTAGGATGTTGTAATACAAAGATGTTACATTAGAAAGAACAATGATTTACTTATGATCGCATTTCTCTTGACCCCAAAAGAGTAAACTTGTAACCACAGTCCTTTTTGTTTTTTTGTCATTAGGTTTTGTTTCATGTTTTCATTGTATTATAATTTTGTCATTAGGGTGGGGTTGGTTTTAGCGAGGTTCACCCACATTCTAAATGGATCTTGCTGGGCAAGAAGATCCAGAAAGAAAAGAGGTAGATAAAGCAAGCTTAAAGTGTAATTTTCTACCTCAACAATTATATGTGTGTGTGTAGAACAACATAACAAACTGCCCAAAGCAACTGCACCAACATTGTATGAAAACCAGTTTGCCCCAAAAGACACTGGTCATGACGGTTGGCATGGCTGACAAAAAAACAAAAGATAAACCACTTCAGCCTCATTTAGTTTCACGTGATCCCAATTAGTCTCTTTATCCCTCAGGAGTGACGGAAGATGTGAACTAAATCCACAAAGCATGACTGTTGTTACTTTTGTAGGCATCTGCTATGAAAATGAAAATCTTGGTATATAATATCATGTTTGCTCCTCGGTTAAAAAAGTAGCTCGTGGGTTTTTTGGTAAAGAATAAAAGTTATGTTTATTTTCTGTGGTTTCCCTCCAAAAAGCATTGTGTGTATCCTTAAGGCCTAATAAAGCTGCTGAATGTATTATGTTCCTCATAAGAAATTTGCAAAGCCAATTTCTGGAAGAATTTAAATTGACCCACGAGCAGTTTTTAAATCAAATATGTATAATTATCAAATATGTAAATTTTATTCCCTAATTTTACCATCAGCTGCTGTCAAATGTAGTTGCATATTCATAAGGTATTCATTTTGTAATCAAGTAATTAAACTTCCACCTTTTTAATTTATTCTTTTTTAAAGAGCAGTTTTAACTTTTAGGAGCAGGACAGCTGTGAATGTACCTGTGGTATTTAATTAGTATCTCTGACTAATGTCAACAATAATGAGACGCCTGTGCTTGTCTTTGCCATACTTCCATTGTGACTCTATGAAAGTTGGAACAGGTTCCAGGAAATTTATAAGACACATTATAAAGATGAAGCTTTTTACCTTCCAGAGGTTTGACGATCTGCAGGCGGTCAGGCAGGTAGGACCTGGAGCCCCCTGAGGAGCCACAGGACTGTCGTGAGCTGCCATTGGAGTAGTTGGTGCCTGTCGATGCTGCCAGGCTGGAGGCCAGGCTGTCGTTTGGTGTGAGGAAGCCGCTGGAGCCCTCGCCCTCCTCGCAGTTTGCTGCCAAGGCACGGAGTTTACGCTCACGCTCCACATCAAAGAAAGGCCGCTCAGAGGAGTGGTTCTGTTGGCGGGCTGACAGGCTGCGCAAAGCAGCTTCAAGGTCCTGGCCCCCTGGGGTGCCTGGCTGACCCAGACGCTTTGGCCCACTCACACTACAGGAAGAAGACATTACATAATGTTTTAACTTCTTCAACCCCGCAGATTGTTTTCCTTTAGTGGGTTAATCGTCATAAGCTCATGTGGCACTGTTCAAAACCCAAAGGAAGTCATTTTAACTAAGGTTTTTAAAAATGCTACATATGCAATTCTGTACGCAGAGAAACGTGTATAAAATGTGGACTTTTCCATTTGTATAAAAGTGCAGACACATGCAACCACATACACTCAAACACACCCATTGTCTTCTTTCTGAGCATGATAGGAGCTGGGCTTGTCCTCCAGGGTAAGGCTGGCATTATCAGAGCCATAGTAGCTAGTTCGAGGAGTGCTGATACAGCTGGAGCGAGTGGACACGGGGCTGGAGCCTGGGAGCCACGGGGAGTGGCACCGAGACCGTAGCTTCCCGACCTTGTTCACCACCTTCACTGTTTCAAACACACGCCACGGGTGGTTCCTGCAGAAGAAACACGGCATAAGTTAGATCTCACTGTAATATTCATCTCATAGACCATTAGTATCCCTAAAAAAAACCACCATATAAACTCTAATGCAAGCACTGTCTTTGAGAAATGGAGCTATGTTTTTCAAATGATTGCAGCCATCATCCACCGTCATGTGCACTAGTGGAGAAAACCAGGTCACCTTTGTTTTAGTAGCTAGTGACTGCTCTATTCTACTCCAACAGAAAATACTGCAGATAACATCCTTGGGTGTTCTTAAACATCAACAACAGGGCGTTGGTTTAGTCTGATCAGATTTATCTGACAACATGACCAAACTAGATTATCGGCCTTGCAGCTGTATACTGCCGCCAACCGGGCAAGTAACAGGAAATATGGTCACAACCTCTCATTCCAGAGCTACAGTGTTGAATAATGGCTAGTGTTTTTGCAGAACATTATGATATCGCAGTGAAGTTGACCTTTGACCCTATAAAATGTCATCATTTTATACTGTTAGACATTTGTGGTAAATTGTACCATAATTAGCACATGAATTTGTGAGTTATAGCAAAAAAATGCGTTTTGGTCACTGTGACCTTGAACTTTGACCTTTGGCCACCAAAATCTAATTAGTCCATCCTTAAGTCCAAATGAATGTTTGTGCCAAATTTGAAGAAAAATTCCCTCAAGGCACTACTGAGATATCGCGTTGACGAGAATGGTCGAACACTGTCACCAGATTCATACCAGACATCAAAATGTTGCTACATTCAAGAAGCATGAAAATATTTTGACAGAATGTAGAATAATAAAAACTGTTCTAACTTGCGGAAAATTGTGTGTTTGTGTAGGATCCCATTGTTAACAGCAGGAAGAGGATTAAGATTCTCTTCCATATTCACTCTTGACTTTGGAAAGAGTTTGAGAAAACAAAGATAAACTGCAGGAACGTGGCACGATTGTTTTCTCAAATTCTCTTTCTAAGGTCAAAAATAAACTTTTGAGTCTCAATTCTAGAATTAACTGCTCCTCAAAAAAATAAATTCAAGTATCAACAAAACAGAAACAGTTTGTCTCAAACACCGATCTGCTTCCTCACACAGTACGCTATAATATCTTTGTTCAGTCGTCATGGCGGGCAGACGTTGGAGAAAATACATGGTAAGATTTGATCTGTTAATTTTTTCTCAGGATGTTTAAACAGTTCACTCTTGTCCTTTTGTCTAAATATTTTTTTTTATCTGAAATGTAGAAAAAACTGCACTGTACCACTGCAAAACAATGTAATCTTAATCTCCAACACAAAATTAAATAAATAGAGAGTAAGATTGTCGTGTTGTTTGAGACAATTAGATAAAAACACTAAATAGAAAAGAAAATCTGTGGTTTTGGGAAGTTGTTTATGAAGTGCAGTGAACCAAATCTGTTTTGTTTGCTAAAGTGATTGAAACGGACACATTACTGATGCATAATGTTACCGATAATATAGAAAATATTTTATGAACAGATTACCAAAGACCATACAAAAGTCTGGATTAATATTATTTCCAGCTCTCCCCAAAAAAGACCCTAGGACCTCTCTTAACTCAAACAATTTATTTAATAATCTAGTTTATCCTTGAATTCGTGTGACAAACTTGTCTTTTATGAAACATAGCTATTTAAAACTACAATTTTCTTTGACAACAAATGGAAAAAGCTACAATACATTTACTGTAAATGTGTGACTGTAATCTTAGCTAAACGCTACTTTATATTTCCTTCAATTAGAAAAAGCAGCATAATAAAGCTGCAAGACAACACCAGCCCTGTACATCCAGACCAGCGGCCGACGCAGAGGTGCATGAACTAAAACAAGCCCTTAAATCAGCTAAGAGAACCAATCAGACACTGGTCTCAGTCAACACCAGTCTGAGGAAGAGGGCTGAGGAATTCAAGCACATGACGATCAGCTGGGTAAAGGAAAAGGGTCAACTTGTGAATGAAAACAGAAGTTTAAAGAGGGTACTCGGGAGGAAATACCTCCATGCTAAAAATGAGGTCGAACGGTTGGAGGAGGTTTTGAAGGTCGCTAAAACCAATGAGAAGATGGAGAATGAAAGGCACCTGGCTGCTTTTAAAAACATCTTGCATGAATTCCAGACATTGAGGACATGGTGGACACTTAAAGAGGAAAAAATAACCACTGAGCTCAAAGAAATGCAAGAGAAGTGCCAGGAGCAGAGAGAGGTGATAATGAAAAAGTCAAAACGTATCACCAGGTACAGGAGGGAACTGCTGGCTCTCGAAATGTACCATTTACACAGAGAGAGAAGCTGGGGGAAAAAATGGAAGGCCCTGAAAGTCAGACTCAGGGAGAAACTGGCTGATAAGGAAGAGAGAGAACGTATGTGGTTTCATTTTTCATTTACACAACAACTTGTTCAGAACTACCTTTTAATAATAGCCTAATTAAATATACTTGTTTTCTATTCTCTTTTTTTTTTTGGCAGCACACCACAAAGAAGAAGAAAACACTCCTCTGTTTCCTGGGAAAGAAGAAGAAGAATTAAAATGTGAGAGCCGCGACAAACATGCTGCAGTTTGACTGGCTCCACCCAGACATCACTCATAGCTACACCTCCATCTTCTTCATCTGTTTTTTTTTTTTTTTTTTTTTTTTTGAGTAGCTCAGTGATGGTTCCTAAAAAAATTACTTTTAAAATAAAGCCTTTATGAACTTGCATTTGATTTAAAATCTCAGTTTTTAAAGTAACCAGTAGCTATCGCTGACAGGTGAGTGTGACGGTGTAGAGAGTCTATTATATTTCCCTCTGGAATGTGGTGAAGTAAAAGTACAAAGTAATATAATATGGAAATACACAGGTCAAGTACAAGTGCTTCAAAATTTAATGAGCAAATGGACTTAGTTACTTTCAATCAGTGGTAATCTCACTAAATCTTACTAAATATAGCTTCTGGGGCACTTTCTTCTACTCTGTAAATGTCATATTTCACTATGAGGTAGTATGTGTGGAATCAATATGTAGAGATTCCCTGCATGATGTGTCAAAGTCATAAATACGTTTATTTCTTGCCTTATATATAGAACAATTTAAGGATTTTAACTATTAACTTAATATCGGTATCAACCTGTGAAAACCGATAAATCATAACCACGATTTCAGAATGTCTCCACATCATTTATGTTCAAACTCAACTTCCTTTATCATAATTTCAAAGTAAAGTGGTTTGAATCAACTCAATTCAGGTCAAACACTCTGCCCTGTAAACTTGAAAGTCGGTTCTCCTTTGCAGAGAACTGAATAAAATATAACAAGACTCCTGCATTATGTTGCCAAACTATGCGAAACATACAGGGGGGTTCACTTAAGAGAAATTCAAATTCAAACACAGCCTTCTACAGGTGAGAGCACACTTACTAAATGAAAGACTCACTTGTATTCTGAGGGAGCCGGGGTGTCCAGGCCTTTGCGGAAAGTGCCTTCTATCTCTGCAGCCAGTGAGTCCATGGGGAGGACAGAGGCCAGGGCAGTGTAGCGCTGCACCGTGCTGTTGGGCAGGCTCTTGTTCCGCAGGTTTTTAATGTCCTCTCGAGCTTCGCAGAGCATGTCCTCACACTCTGAGTACTTGTCCTGCAGGTCCTTGAGCTGCAGACAGGGGGAGATAAATCAGTCAAGCTGCAAGGCATTGTGCCACTAACAATGTACACAGGAGGTGTTGAACATATTTTGGCTGAGGTCTCCTTCTGCAAAGACACACATACACAGGTAGTTGTCAGGACGCAGAGAAGGGGTTCAAAGAAAACCATATGGTGTTCCTCGGAGCTGCTGACATGCACATAAAAAAAAAAAAAGGTTGAAATCATGTCTCTATTTCTACATTTCATTGCTTCTTGCATATTGTGGTTTTGTTAATTGCCTACAACTATACAACCCTCTGTAGGTTGGCTTCGCAGCTGTCTATGTTTCCACCTTCTGTGTCTACATCCGGACAACCATTCAGCCATTCAGAGAGGAAAATAAAACTGAGTACGTTGTTGAAGTCACTGGGAGTATCTGAGAGTAAGTGTCTTGCCTCTGATTTCAGTTTTATCTGGCTCTCACGGGAGGCACTCAGGTGTTGGTTCAGCTCTTCATTCTCGTGGGTGACCTTGAAGGACAGAGTGAATAAAGTTAAAAGTTTTACTGTGATTAGACATTAGTGGATAATTAAAGAACATCTGAAAAGGGTAGGTATTTAATGGCATCTGTGTGTGTGTGTGTGTGTGTGTGTGTGTGTGTGTGTCTCACCCCTTTGCAGCGGGCTTGCAGGTCCACAATCTGGGCGAGCAGTGAGCTGATTTCCTCCTGCTGTCTGACAGAGTCCTCTACTTTCCGTGCTAGCTCCTCTGACAGGTCGACCACCTGCTTATTGACTGATGCTGAAACACACAGGTCAGATAAATACACCTGTACCCAAGCTACAGTCAAATTATTTCCAGTTATTGAATCAAGACTGTAACACTTACAGAGCTCTTCCACACACACCATCATCAGCTCCTGTTCTTGCTCCTCATAGTTGGTTGTCTCTGTTGTGAGCTCATTCGCCTGCAATGTCAAAATATCATATTTAATGCTAGGGCAAGCATGAGTGTGTAATGTGTTAAACTAGACATTTTGTGAACTTATTACATCTCTGAAATTTTCAGTAGATTTGATTCAGCCCTAAGCTGTGATAATACAAAAGGTGTTGATCCAAAATATTCACTGAAATCCTTCTTACCATCACATTAATGACTTATTTATATTTAGAGGTGTTTTTTAATTTGCATTATTAAATATGAAATGAGAATTCATACTACATTTTTGGTATTTTCAAACAGTTTTTGCAAATAAATGTTAGTGTGTGACTGAAGATATTTGTTTAGGGTTAAACCAACCAATATAAACAATATTCAAAGCTACATTTTGTAATGATAATGACATTTTTTTGAAAGTGTCTTATTTCATCTTGTATGTGCAAACAACTTTCCTTTCATTTTATTCTGTGTGAGAACTATGTAACGTTGCATACCTCCAATCTCAGTTTGCGGTTCTCCTCCTCTAAACCCTTCAGTTTATGCTGCAGGAAGTCGTAGTGGACAAAGTTGCTGAGAGAACTGCATGATTCATTCCTTTTTACCCTGCAACAAGAAAAAAATGTGTCTGCATTAGACAACTCACCTCTTTCTATATTAGAAAATGATCCTCAGGAAAGATGCATAAGCTTAAACTGTATGTAATCATGAATACGCAGCTCCAGTGTTCACTAAGAATACAAATGATTTTATACTGTTTTGCAAAGAAAGTGACATGGCTGTTAATTTGACTGCAAAGAACTTGTTGTGAAAAACTAATTGTGACACTATCGTGATACATTCTTGATTTTCGATTTCTTAAGCATTTAAGCAGAACTGATGGACAAACATCAACTTTAGACAATTGAAGGAAGAGAAATCATTTTCTAATTGAGTAGTAATTAATGTACCTAAAAAAGGCAGCAATGAAGAGAAAAGAGAAATGAGAACACTAATGAACAGTGGTAATGATTAAGTGCTGATAGGAGGGAGTTCAGTAGAAAGCTTAGCCAGAAACTTTGAGAGGATCAGTGGAGATGTTCTGACGTATGTTTACACAGACGCAGTGTACTGAGCAGCAGCATAAAGCAATGTTCCTCCGAGTGGGCATTTGGCGATCTCTTTTATTTCATCAATATCTACTGCATTATATCTACCCTATCACCTGCTTTGGTGTAGCAGTGGTGTTTTGTGTTACACTGCAGTTTAAATGACATGTTTCTTTCAATTTTAGACCTCGCAACTCTTTTTTGTTGCTTGAAATAAATATTCCCACTGGTCATTCCTCAATCTCTGTGTGCGTGAATGTGCATGTTGTACTCACGGCGAGAGCGATTCAGCGTTCTCTATCTCTTCAGTGCTCGCATAGAACTGAAGGAGGTCGTCTCGCATCGAGAGCTCATGACGAAGTTGAGCAATCTAGAAAATGAGTCATGATCACTTGAGCTCAGCAGACTGTAACATAACGCAGATCATGTAGTTCAGCGTGAGTGTATCGTAAGGTCTTATACCTCCTCCTTTGCAATTTCAAGTTGTTCATCCAGCATTTCATTGCGTGATGTTAGTTCTTGGTTTTGCTTCAGGAGGGACTGACCGATCCGCGCTGCTAACTCCAGATCCCGCTCTTTCTGCAAAGTGATACAAAATACTGCATTTATTTTACTAGTCAACAATGTCATGGATATAGGACATCTATATACAGTATATTGTATTTTCTTACACAGTAAGAGGAGATCACAGATGCAGTGACATTTTTTTGACCAAATCTGATCAGGCTGATAGAAATAAACAGTGATGGTCAGTGAGGCAAATAAGTTTAATCCTCTTTAATCCCGTTCATCTGCTGAGTGTCTCTCTCTTACCTCCTCCAGCAGGTGGGTGACTGCCTTAATGTCATGATACGTCTTGGTGACCTGGCCCACTCTGTCTGAGCACAGCACTGAGGGAGGAGGGAGAGAGGGATTTAATGAATGGGGGAAGAGACAGAGCTGCAGATGGTACAGAGAGGATCCTACAATAACACAGCCTTGCTAACTGGTTATCTCGAGCAATAATACATAACCTGTGGGGAAGCTTTTTGACTTTGACTGAACTCTTCCTCTGTTTTTGTTTATCAAGCAGCTACTTAACAAGCCAGCATTTCTAGAAAATTAAATGATGGAAAAAGCCCAGTTTTTACTTTTAAGAGAGAGAAAAAAAGGGTTTTTTATGTTTTATATCCACTTATGCTTTTATTGAGTTAGCTGATATTGCTGTTTCTCAGCAGTTACTGCACTTTCATAAATAAAGTTGCAGATTAAATCACTTGTCCAGTGGGGTTAAATCTCTTTTCCTTTGATTTTCTATTAAACATTTTGGGTTTTCTGTTGTGTTTCTGCATGTACACCTCTGATGAAAATGGATTATGGATTATAAGTATTTAAAACAGGATTAATATTCATACATAATCATGTAAACAAGTGAAGAAAGTGAAGTACCACTCCTGAACATGCCTTTGTCACATAATTATTATTCAATATTAACCTGTAATAACATCAACAATACAAACAGGCTGAAAACTCTGACAGTGCTGTTTGTATGAATGAGTGCCTCGAACAGAGCACGCTTCTCCTTAAAGTTTCCACAGCTACAGACCACAACATCCCTATGTGGTCAGCCAGATACTGATCCTCTTAGCTTGATCCTTTTTAGCCCAGATAAGACACCAATAAAGACCTCATTCTCCTGGATACCAATATAGCTCAACGGGAAAGACTGCCAGGACTAAACTGACAAAGTGTTCACACCAGCAGGACACGTACAGCATGGAGGGGATAACAGCGCCATGGCTATTGACCTGAAACTATGTTTACATCCTGCAGAATGGTTTGTTTATGTCCACTTCAAAGTCAATAAAGATGAAGAGTTGTCAAAGATTAATTAGCCAGGTACAGATCTGTTATTGACGCACACAGGTTCTTAATTAAAGCCGTTAATGTATTGTACATTAGCCAAATACTGTAAAGCAATCATCTTTAGTATTTTACTTTACTTTACTTTTATTTGTTCATTACCTAAATTTCATCAGAAACGCAAAGGTTATTGCTTTGTCTGCCAAGGACAAACATTATAAGTAACTGTCTACAATAACAGATATGTGCTAAAATGAACACCATCTTTACCATCTCTACTTAACATCTGATTTGTTTCTGTTTACGGATGTGCACTTGCCTGGACTTAAGTGCAACCCCAAATAACACAACATACCTCTAAACCAAAATCAGTTGTGTAATCTTACTTCAGTAGAAAGCTTAGCCGGACTGAGATGGGACGTTGCCATACAGCCAAGTAATTAGATTGGGGTACTTGAATTTGGCCTGGAAACACAGTGATTGGATATGTGTATCAGTGTCTAATCAGCCTAATGGAAATAAACTAACCTAGTGCTGAACTACTGCGCTGTAAACTATAGCTGCCCATGAATTATATAGCATAAATAAGGTCTAAAGCTCTCTGAGGTGATTTACAGCAGGGTAGAGGTCATGGTTTCATCCCCACTAAGTACATGAAAGAGAAATGTAGAAACCAAATGCTTCAAAAGTGAGATAGTCTGATTGTTAAACAGTAAGTTGGCATCATGTATCAAAGTCACTCCTGACCAATGTCGTTGGAAACTCTTCTTTTAATTCTAGAGCTCACTGTTGGCTATATACCAGGTCCACTGGTAGGAACTCGTGTGTCTCTCAACGACATTGTAGAAGGGCAACTCCATGTGAGCATTGGATGCCTGAAAGAAGGATTAATCTGTCATTGCCATCCAGCTCTGCCTCCAAACTTAAAGTCACAGATACTGTCATTCTAACTGACTCAGTTCTAATCACAAATAAAATAGTTAAGACATCTCTGAGATCTGAAAATGTGAGAGGCACATCGAGAAATATCAATCAGAGAAATGAAAAATTTACCATCTACAATTCAATGTCAACTGTGCAAACTGCATCTGCTGATGAAGTTCATGTCACACCATTGAAAGCTCCACAACAGCTACTAAATGGACACTAGAGTGAAATGAATTTTCTTCCCAAGGTCAAGATTAAGCTTTGAAACTTGACACTAATTTCACTGTTCATTACACTGCCAAAAACTTGTTTCTGTTTCTGATGATGAGACAATAGCTGGGTATTAACATTCACTAAATAACTTTCAAACCATTCAATCAATCATCATCAAATCAGCTCTTGAGTGGTTAATTGTGTAACTGAACTGAAATACCTTTGCTGTGTTATGTAAACTTACAACGGTTAATCAGATAGCAGTTCAACTTTCTCAAATCCTATTGTATTTAAAGTGGATTGCAGCACTTGTCCTAAAAGCAAAGCAGCAGCAGGACCATCGAGAGGTTTCAGATACTGTCCTGTAACTGAGCACTGATCTACACACTACACATCCAGTCCACTCAAATCGTTGTATGTTACATCTGCAAGGGACTGTGTCTCATGTCGGTCTGCCACAGGTATATCAAAGTAAAGCATCACTGCTGTATATTATTTACAAGGAGTCAATTAAGGTTAATTTAATCTTGGGACGATTTTCATGTACTGCATGTAGAGAATTGCAGTTCAATCAACATTCCCCTCAGCAAGCACCTAAACTGCACATCCACCAAGTCTCACCAGGTGAGACACCTGATCTATTTCCTCCTGACCTGACTGCCACAGCATGGAGCAGATCAAGGGAGGAGATGCCGCTATGCCAGCTGGAGGTTTTAGGGTTTGCACTGAGCTAAATCCAGGCAGCTACCCTGAACACTGTTCCTATGGATGAGCGTTGCTGACTTAGGAATACTTATGACGTCTGTTATGTTGTGGGGATCAGACAGGTATGGATGAGCTCCAAGAATAAGGTTTACATTGATCCCCTATTGATCTGTATTGTTCTGAAGGGGCACACTTGACAAGATTGGCAGGAGCTAAAATTTGTCTCACAGAGCTTCTTACTGTAAATCTGTCTGGACAGGGAACAGTCTTCAGTGTATACTTAGTGTATATTTTACAATGCTATAATACAATTCATCATAAAGACATGTATGAAGTTGTAAATAACATTTTCAGTGTTACTCTTCCTGGAGGGGGGGCCCATGTCGCAGGATTGGAGCGGGTGCCAGCCACATGCCCATTCAGACAAAGAACGCCTCATACACAGGAGGAATACAGGGGAATCCCTGCTCACAGTAACTGCTCTTGTTAAAAAACGTGTTCACGAGCACTTTTATGATCTCACATGTTCAATCATGTTCATTATAAACACATGCGTCATTTTGTATTTTGTGTAGTAGTATTGAATACTGCAAAAAAGATTAAGACAAACTGCTCTACACCATAAGCCAAGCAATAATATCAAATTATCTTTTATGAAAATCACATTTTCTGCCCCTGAGAGACACCTGACAATACTGGACTGAAACTAGGGCAGCAGCACAATTCATGTACTTGCAGTCTTTGTCCTTTTGAACCACAGACCACAAAGTAGTCTTATTCAACCAGTTTTAATTCTCTATGCATACAATTCTTCATGCTTGATGTTCCCACTCAAATTTCACACTAATAGACGAAGTAAAGCACGCCAAGAGGAAAGAAATCCAAAAAATAGAAACTGTAGCATTAAAATACTTTTCCCTAAATCTAAGGTTCTGACCTCCATATATTAACCACAGGAGTACAAAAGAAAACTCATATTCACAATGCTGCCAATGACAACTGCTTGTATGTACACAGGGCTTGATTGTGCTGCTGCAGAGTGTGTGGTCACACACGCACACAGGCCCAGTGACCTTCACCACACTAAGAGGAAACATTCAAGCTGATTATATTCACAAAACTCTTCACGTCTCAGGGAACTTCCCTGTCGAACTAAAGCATCCTTACAACAAGAGCTGCAAATACAGGCATTGTGCTGACTGGTAATCAGCATCTGCCTGATGTACCTTCAATGACATCACTGCCCTCCAGTACATGCAGTGCGCTATTAAGTATTAAAGAACTTAGATAACCTTGACAATGCAGAGTACAACTATGCATACCACAGAGCAATATTTGACTTGCAGGGTAAAATAAATGTACTAACCATGACACTTAAGACTTCTTGCTTTACATGTAATTTTTCTTTTATCTCTCCTTTGAGCATGGGCTCTGCACATCACTGACCAGTCTCTGGTGCACACCGTTTTCCTTTTCCTATCCCCTGAAACATCATGCGCTGCCTTATCTCACCTTGTGTCACCTCCCTGCAAAGGCTGTCCTTGTTGTTGTTATTATTGTTATTGCTGTTGTGGCCTTTCTGCTCATCCACCACTACTTCATCCACAAGACTGGAAGTGCTCTTCTCTTCTTCCTCCTCCTCAGACGCTGAAGAGCTCCACACCTCCATGGTGACCGGAGAAAAACTGTCCTCCGTTTCTCCGTCCATCAGTTAAATCCCTTGTTCTCCTGATTCTACTGTGTGTTGGCTGTGCTGTGACACACCAGCTGTGCCTCTGGCAGCATTCTGCTGGCCTGTGTGTATGTGAAAACAGTGGCCACTAGCCTACGTGAGTGGGTGTGTACACCTGTGTTTGTGTGTGCAAGAGAATCTGAGCTGCTTGGCGTTAATATATAATCCCTCAGACCGTAGGGGCCATCTGTCGTCATGCCTGCCTCCGTTCACCTGGCCACGTTGGACTACCGGGTAAGAAAACAGGGGAGGAAGAGGAGGAGGGGTGAAGAGGAAGAAAAATCTATACTGTGAACCATAAAAGCTGATACTGATCACACTGACCTTGTCCAAGCACAAAAATATAATTATTATATGCTTACAATTGAAAACATATTTCAGGATGGGAGAGCTGATGCAGTATGAAAGGATGCTGCACAAAGACCTCCCACCCCTTTGAAGTGAGTAAGATGGTAGGTTCCGCCTGTGCCAATGGCTGCTCTTATTCTACACATACGTAATTCCTGATAGAGGGCTCTGCATAATACTGGTGCAGACAGAGCCACACCCACTTTATAGGGGTCTGATGGAGGCAATAGAATGAACACAGTCTGAGATTTTATGGATTTTGACTGGGATTATTATGAGTGAACCACAAGAAAAATACTGTTGTCATTTTTTATATTTATCATATTTCCTCCAATATTAAAATAATGATTCCTTTTGTGTAATAAATAAAAATTAAGCCCATAATTAATCCAAAGTAACTAGTTTAATGAGGCCAATTTCTATACATTTTTCTGTCTAATTTAATTTAACTAAATATTCTGATCAGACGGTTGCTTTGTATAAACAGATAATAAATGATTATTGTCTTTTCTAACATTATTATGGAAACCCCCTAGAAATCTTCATTTTGTCTTTCATTTTGTATCAGTTTTGTTTTCATTCCAATCAAGATGAAAATCACTACAATGAATTTTCCACTCAATTGTGCTACAATGATCCACAGTCATTCTACACCCAATCATCACAGTCACTGTCCTGTCTCTGTCCGTCCCATGCCTTTGCTGTTGGTAACTCCAGACACAGCAGTTCCTTACAATCAAATATTAACCTCCTCATTCATTTTTCACCCACAAACTGACTCTTTCCAGGTCAAATGCTGCACGCAAGAGACAGTGGAGACACAACTTTCGCCATCTGTGCCACATATTGTTTATATGGAAATAATATCTCCCTTTAGAGGGATGGTTCAGCAACTGCAAGTAAACAGGTCAGCACTACAACAACAGAACTAAAAATGCTGCAGGGGAATACAGGCTAAGTACTTTGCTTGCAGCAACAAACAAAGACGTGACGTGCTTCACCGCCCAGTAATAAATTCAACACTCCAGTGTTTTAAATCAACCTACTCTAAGCATCATATCACCAGGATTAATTATCCTGTATCCTTATATATGTATTGTCCTATATCATATATTAATTATCTATTAAAATATTCAGTAAGGGAAGTTTGTCACAAAAAGACAGGCAATAAAGCACAGTGTGATAATAATCAACTCCACCTTCTTAGGTAACTCATTGCGAGGCTCTAACGAACACCATATCACCAGTAATAGTTTCTGGTATCACTGTTAAAATATTTGTTTGAGGGAACACCCTGAAAGTCATTTAACTCCTGCACAACAGTCACATAGTGCTCATAATTCCGATTTAAGATATAAAGAAGCAGACAAGCGCACTGCATGCCTGAGCTGGGTCGTAGTGATATACTCCTTGTTGTGGATCAGTGGTTTTGCATGTAATTACTATAAATACTGGTCATGTCATCCAATAAAATGTGGATTGTTGTTTATTCATATCATAACTACAATCTGCTCACTATGATATGTGAAATTAAATATTTCTCCTTTTATCAAGCTTATAAAGCGAAATGCAGTGAATTTGTTTGCAAGCAATTTTCTATTTACACACCCAGCGGACACAGAGCGACATTAGCATTCATTTGGACTCATGTTTGGTTCTAACCAATGAATGTAAGTCCATTATTGACTCTGCTGTTGTTTGGTGCTGGATTGATAGTGGCCAGAGTGAGAGGAACTGCAGGGCCGGACGAGTGTCAACTATAATCAACCCCTTCCACATTACATCCAGTCATTTGATCTTTTGTTAATATAAAAATATTGATTATCGCAGCTTTAACAATCAATTGGTTGGTGTGCCACAGATTTTGCATGGTACTGAGATATGCAGAGATATATAACACTGATGAATATTTAGGACCAGTTCAATCAAACCTGAGACGAAGGACTGGGGGAAAACCAATAACAAGTTAAAGGCAGTGAAAAACTTGAATGAAACCATTTACAAACAGAGGAGAGAAGGAAGCAGTGAGCTTGAGGTAAAAAAAGAAAAACAAAACAAAGCCATATGTGACCTGCAAAAAGAGGCAAACACTGCAACATGGCATAGCACGGCATAATCTGCATGGACCAGGTTAGTCTGTCCTGCTCCCGATTGCAATATGTGGCTTGGCATCACCTGGGAACAGCCTATCTAGCATTATGAGGACACAGCCAAACAATCTCATGAAATCCCATCACTATGGTCCAAGGTCTTCAGGAGTAAGGGAACTCTTGGCATAAAATTCAGATCAGCAGAAGAGAAAGAGACGTTTTCATGCACAAGCACAAGTTACAAAGCAAACACAGTTAAGTTCCTTAATCTTTTCAAATGCTGTATGACTGCAAATTAAACATGGCAGATATTGGCACATTTGCTCATTTGCTGAATATTGCGTGTCACTGGCCAGACCACAATTTACTGGCTTTGCATCATGAATGTCAAGCTGTTCTGAAGTGAGGCTCTTCTAACCATCAAAACATATACTCTGTTACATATACTGCAAGATTCAATGATCAACCTTTCACTTCAAAGCTTAGTGTTTTAGAAAAGTTACCAAACATAAACAATGATCAGTCATGTGCACAGCCACTATAGTAGTTAAGGTGTGGATGTCACAGCCTGCCATCACCGCTCAGGTCTAGACAACCTATGCATCTAATTATAAACCCTTTCTGGGTTGACATGCCAACAATGTCATCATGGTGCCATCTGCGGAGCGGAAACTTTTTAGGGAAGCTAAGTGACGACAAGTTAATCGGCTTGCTGACATTTGACATCTGTGAGTCACAAATGTGGCAGAGGAGAGGAGAGGGAGGGGGGAACACACACACACACACACACACACACACACAATTTTTATCCTCTATTGTTACCCTTGATGTTTTTTCTTTATTTTGTATGTGCTTTGTTATTAAGGGCCACCATATTTAAGTGACTTACTGTTCTAATTTCCACTGCCTCTCAAGGCAGTAAAATGCCCTCCCACCTAAAACACATATTTGATATAATGTGGAAAATCCCTAAAGAAAACATGTTAAAATGTAGTATTAGGTAGAAAATATACTGATATGTATTGTATTTTTTCTTGTGAATGTATTTTGATTTGAACCTAACTTTTTTGTCTAAATGAATAGTCTGGCATGTTATTTTTATATGTGGTGACATCTGTTGTTGTTTGTGTGGGAGTGTTCAACTCATCTTGGTACCTACAGCATGATCATCAGTGCCTTCTGGTGACACCTGGGCCCGGTGTTCACCAGCCTATAATCTAGGTCTACGTCCCGTTACCCATTCTCACTCTATCTCTCTCTCTCTCTCTCTCTCACACCCTGTTGGTGATGTGACAGCCTTAGTTTCTTTTTGTTATTCTTTGTTTATTTTATGCTTTCAAAAACACTCACACCCACATTCACACATCGTGCACCTCACGCTGATCTTATTGACATTCACACTGATTTGTGATTCTTTGTTCAGAAGATATTTCATTGATTTGTGGTAAATAAACTACTTATGTTGATCTTTAAATTGATTCATCTCCCTCCTTGTCATGGCTGAAAGAGCCAGGCTCTGACACAAAGAAATAAACAAATAAGGATTTGTGCAAGAGATTAAGTGAAGTAGTCTACAGTACACAATTGAGAAAATGAAACTAGTTTTGTAAGTTAAAAACAATTTGAGAGATGGTTTTTCACCTAATGACAGGCACACCCTCTCATTTATGTTAATACCTTGTTTTGAAATTTGTTAAAGCATTTGCCAGAAGAAAAGCTGCTGTCACACACACTTGGTTCAACCACCAAAGTGACATATCAACTTTCAACAAACTTCTGTCAACTTAATTTGACAGTAAACTTGTAAGAGGCTAAATGAACACAAACACAGTACAGTGAACTGTTAGGACAATCCCTACATTCTCAAATTTACCTCCCTGTGAAGATACATTGCTTGTGTTGTTACACCCAATAGATTCCACAGACAAACTGGAAGTTACAGTCTGTATGCTTTTAGTAGATGAAAGGATTTTTCCATGCTAAACAGTAAAGCACCTTGAAACATGGAGCCCTGTAATAAGGCAGCAATACAGCAAAAAGAAATCAATCTATGTATTAAAACACAAGCTGCTGACAACTGTCGGTATATTTGCTCTAATGTGGTCTAATCATTTAATGTAAAACACAGTGGTCAATTCAAATGGTCACTTTGGGAGAATAGCGTGGTCCTGATGTTGGCAAATCCATCGCTATAGACTTATCCGTATGTTAAGTGGAATGAAAACAATACTCACAGAAGTACTTGAATGTCTCTTCGATCTGCTCGTGTGTGAGTCCCAGAGCGACTTCTGGTGGCAGCAGGGGGGTGTGAAGCCAGCCGTCATTGTCGTACCCAAACACACTGTCTGCTCGAAGAGTGTAGTTGGGCCGAGCCTCTGATAACAGGCTCACTATCTCCAACTCTGGCAGGTCTGAACAGAGGTCTGAGCATGGGGAGGGTTTGGGTTTCAGTGTGTGAATAAATATTTTAAAAAATATATAAATAAATATAGTGTATGGGTTTAGGGATGAGGAAAGAAAAACACTGAAAGGAAGAAACACTTTAACATTAATTTCTAGGCTGATGTGTCACCTACAATGGCACACTGCCCTCTACTGATGAATGTAAGAACCTACATCATTCTCTTCCTCAAGTGAATTCTGTACAAAACACAACTGAATTAGTCAATTCCAGATTCATGAGTAAGTGAAGTTTTCGTGCTTAAATTTGAATGAGCCTCATTTTCTCAAAAAATTATGACTCGGGGATGAGCATCCGCCCCATGTGTAGAGGCTACAGTCCTCGCTGCAGATGGCCCCGGTTCGAGTCCCGCATCGGACAGCCCTTAGCTGAATGTCATTCCCCCTCTCTCTGCCTCCCCATTTCCTGTCTTCCTCTCTCTACTGCACTATCAATAAAGGCACAAAAAGCCAGAAAAAATAAATAAGAAAAATAAAAAAAAATGATGACTCAATGTATCATTCATGGCCTACGTACCTGTTAAAGTTGATACATCGTGGCAGGGCCGTTGTCCCAGGTCCCTGAGGTTCCCAGGTGAATCAAGCTGAAGAGGCAGGGGGTCCACATCCAGGGCCCCCGGCGCCTCCTCCCGCCCCTCATGGAGGGAGAAGGCTGAATGGGAGTCCAGGTGGGCCTGTGGGGGCCAGGAGGGAGGAGAAAGAGGAGCAGGAGGTGAAGAAGAGGATGGAGGGGAGGCAGGGTCGGACAGCTTGACTGGGGCTGGAGGGTTCAGTGTGAAGGCAAAACTCAGAGCTGGGTGTCCCACTGTGGGACTGAGGCCCCCTGGTGGCTCAGGGAGAAAACACAGGCTTCCAGGGCATCGGGCTCTGACCGCCTGAGATGAATATGACTAGAGAGAGGAAAGTAGAAAAAGAAAGAGATGGAAGAAAAGAAACATTAAGATCTATGTGCAGGAAAGTCTCTAAAATTAGTATCATGCAGCCCTACTGCATGATACTAATATTACAATTATTTTGCTAAGTATTGCAATTTTGGCAAATAATATTCCTATACTGTAATTTGATATGAGGAAAACCTCCAGTCTTTCAGATTCAACATATATAAACAAAAACCATGACAATACTTGACATTTGTGTTTGACAATGGGCAATTTAATATACCCATAACTGGTCAGAAACAACCATGTAACAACTGAGTTGCAGCCTTTTTTTTTGTTATTTGTGCAGCCCTACACCCCTACTCTAGCAATAAAATGTCATATTATTACTATATAAAACGGCAACTCCAATGACATAATGTATTGTATAATGCATACAGTCATACAGTATATACTGTAGATATATGTACTGCATTGCCTCTCCTCGCAGTCAATTTTAAGGTTATTATTCTCACAAAAACTCCCCCACAATTAACAAGAGAAGTCACAAATGAAGAACAACATGGTTAAAATGAACATACTGAACAACACTAAATTTGTCAGGCTCTATTTCTAATACATCTACTTAAGTAACTGAATAAGATTCATTTATCTTTCAACAGATCCGAACTCTCCCAACATCAAACCTTTTGTGCGATCAAAGGGCCTTTCAATAAAAACAAAGCAGGGCCTTGCCTCCTGTCTGGGTTTCAGGGTCACAAAGATAAAGTTACCACAGCCTGAAGCTACACACAGATCAGGTTCCTCAGCATAACGGTAAGACTCCTATAAACACACACAGCATGAGCAGTTCATGGTATATGAATTACACACAGAATCGTTAACACTTCATGCGCCATATAGTATGTGCACTTTATGCCACCTATTTTATACATTGTCCAACACGAAGAAAATTTGATTTTTTTTATTTATGTTGTAAGATATACAATTTCTGCATCGGAACATATAATGTATATATTTCTTCTTAATAGCTACAGTGTCTCACTGATTTTTATATAAATACTAAAAATATTCTCACACAGTCCAAAACCTTAATGCTTTACCTAGGCTGGGTACAAAAGTACACTTGATACCTCGACCCAGTTATTGCAGTCAATAAAACATGCTGGCCAGAGGGCAGAGGGTTAGGCCTAATTAAACCAACAGCCACTTGACTGCCATGATAAGTACAGAACTGGCACATACGCACATGACACACACGCAGCTCGAGCCTGCAGCTGTGCACACACCCACCTGATTACCCATGAGTGAACCCCCCAGCACCAGTATCACTATCACCGCCGCCGCCACCAGGGGCCCTTTATTTCCCTTCATCCTTGTTGGTCTCAGTCCATCCAATCAACTGAGTGTTTTGGTTTGTAGCCAACACTTCCCCATAAATCCTCTCTCTCCAATAGATGTCACAGGGGTCTCACCACACACATACACTTCAGCTTTTATGTTCACCCCCTTCAGGCCCACCATTTCTGGCAGTAAATCTATAGTATGTGTGATGTGAAGACTCACTTACTCTCACCCACAGCAGAACACTCACTTAAACAGACACTCTGAGTATATTAATATCTTAAATATATCTTAAACAAAAACAATGTACTCATTGAGAGAAAACAAAACAGGCATGTCCAAGATATTCACATTAATACTCTGTCATCCCCAATTTAGCAGTTGGTGAAGCACACAGTTGGTTAGTTAACCATGCAGCCAAGCGAGACTCTGTCAGCCACTTAGGGGTGACACTAGGGAAAATCGTTATTAGCCATCTCCCACTTCTTTGTATTCTTGTCTTTTTACTGTGCTAGGCAGGACGCCAGAGAAAAAAAAGAAAAAAACACTGTCAGCTGAATAATCAGCTACAGCATCGTTTATACAGAACATAATGGAGCTGCAGAGAAGATTAGCGCACCATCCTCAGAAACCGCAACAGAAAAAAAAATGTCCAAAACAGACTTAAAATGCCGCCAGGGATTTTTGAAAGTGTACTGTAACCAGAATAAATGTGACGTTAATCTAACAAAATAGAAGGGCTGATGCTTCATGCTACTGGCTTAAAGAAAATCCTCCCTCTGACCTTGGAGTCTGGACTGGACCTGAGCTGAACTCAACAGAGGTAAAGGGTGTTTGAAAAGCTCTGCGTTGGTGCTCAGTGCAAACAATGCCCTTCCAGGAGGGTGTGTACGTGAGCAGAGGCACACAGGAGTGAAAGAGACACAGAGGGAGGAGGGGGAGGGGGAGCAGACGCCTGCATTAAAGGGGTTGAAGGAGGGGTACATTTGAGACATGGCTACTTAGCAAAGAGGGAAAAAAGACACTAAAAGTCTGTCAGTAGCAGGTTGAATGAGTCACATTCTGCAAGATAAACAAAAGGCTCTTTTTTTATCTGTTCTGTGTCTGTGTGAGGGGCTCTACAACACTGAGTTTATAGCTGCAGAAAACAGTAAAAACTGTAGGTGGTTCATTCATGTAGCAGAATCCAAATTATATTCTGTGGCTGGGACAATGTAGCAGTGTTGGTCATCTTGAAAATAGAAAATAATAAGTACAACAGCATATCTTACAACTTAAAATGAATAGTAGCGGAACTAAGGTCACATGGACTAAAATCAATATGGTCCCAATCTCCCCTTCCTGAGTTACAGCATTGAATAATGACCAGAAGTGTTTTTGCAGAACATTATGATGTCACAATGAAGTTAACCTTTGACCATTCGGATATAAACTGTAATCACTTCAACATTTCATCCTACTAGACTTTTGAGTTAAATTATGTTATAATTAGTGTATGAATTCATGAGTTATGGCCCAAAACGTGTTTTGTGAGGTCACAGTGACCTTTGACCTTTGACCACCAAAATCTAATCAGTTCATCCTTGAGTCCAAGTAAATGTTTGTGTCAAATTTGAAGAAATTCCCCCATTGATTAGATATTGCATTCACGAGAATGGGACGAACAACCTGAAAACATAACAATAAACACGTGTCGCAGCTTCGTACATCTCTTAAACTGGTATGAGATTAAAAAGGTATTTAGGCAAGAACTACTTTTCAGAAGTACTTTGGTCCAAAAAACTGAAAATGAGTTTAAAGGCAGCCAATTTTAATGAGCACCTTTTTCCCTCTTTTTTTAATTTATTTTTTATCAAATATTATTTTTCATCACTTTTGCCTTAATAGTACAAGATTGAGAGGCAGACATGAATGTGAGGAAAAAGACAGAGAGCATTTGTAAGCATTTTGATAATGTTGACTAGATAACAGTACGCTTAAATATTGGCTATACAGTTTAACACTGTCATCTTCAACAAACTTTTAGTGGCATTTTCCTTCCACAGAAATATGATTGGAATAAAGCATGTCACTATTCACAAAGTCAGACATCTCTACGGAAACAGTTTTAGTAAAGTCATGTGCAATTCCCTAATGTCTAACTAACTCGCTAGTGACTATTTACTGTACTTTACTCTTTTTCTCCAACACATCCTGATGTTTGGCTTCATTTCAAACTCCTTTTAACACCTTGTTATCCTCCACAAGTTACACTGCACTCAATCAAGGCAGGCTAAACAGTGTTCACACATCTAAATAATAAGTTGCTCAATTCAGGAAGTTTGATATGTGCAGGAGTTGATAAGTTGCAAATGAGTCATTGCTTGAGCAAGACCATTTATTCTGCAAGCAAACTTAAATCTTTCAACAATAACTTTTAATTAATCAAATGAATATCTGGCAGTCTGCATTTCCTTCATTTTTACTTGTTTTTGAAATTAGAATTAACTACAGGTCTGACTCAAAGGACCCTCTATATAATGCAAAATAACAGGTTGAGGGGGAAAGTAAAAACATCAATTTTCCAGGCTTATTGAAATAACAGAAAATGAACAATATTGAATAGAAAATGAGGCCTACTTTGAGTGTAACTTCCAGCATGTACTACACTACACAGGCCTTCAAGCCACTAGAAAATAATGCACACAAGGTCTGGATGATTGCAGATATTTAATGATTAAATGTCATTAGCGTTTTAGAGGCTGGTCTAAGAGGTTCTGCTCTACTGGACAGTTCAGTACAAACTACTTCAGACAAATACCTCATCATGTGATAATGTAGGTAGCCATATTACAATGTGTGATATTACAAAGCCAGCAAAACAGAAAGTCGTCAAAACTTTAACTAGACAAGTTCTTTAAAAGCTTCCCATGAATTTATCGACATCATCTGACTTATCTGTGGAAAGTGCCAAGATCCAAACATCAGGCTGGAATAAATATTTGAACCTCATCAGCTAAGAGGACAAGATGACTCAACAGTGCATGAACTGTCTGTTACAGCAAAGAGATAAGTAGATGTGCATCAGTTCATGATCTGAGCACACCATTAAATCCACAAACTATTCACAATACCTGCAACCTCCCTACACACACACACACACACACACACACACACACACACACACACACACACACACACACACACACACACACACACACACACAGCATCACAAGACATTTATGGATCAATTTAACTGCAGTATGATGTTTGACGAGTAATGCTATCTGTCTCTCAGTATTGCCAACCAATACAATATTCTGCTGCTCAGGTTACAATATCTGTGACAGTCACACCGGACTGAACACCGTTGATCCTTTACTCAATTTTAATTAATAAATAAATAAATAAATAATAAAATAAAAGTAACTAACTAATTACAAAAATAAATGAATAAAAAACCCAAATTAACAGAACAGCATGTGATAAAAATTGACTACATACTGCACTGCAAGCTTTACAAGGTGATAAAGTTAGTTAGTTAATTTTGTGATATCAATCATAAATGAGACTGAGGTAACAGGTGACAACTGGGAGCTGTCTAAGCCCTGGGGACATCTCACCAACCTTATTCAAATTATGTGTGTCTTATACCATAAATAAAATTAATAATTAATAATAATTTTTCAGTATCAGGCACAGGTCTGCATAATGCAAGCACAAAGCCCACATCATGACAATAGGCAGGATGTGATGTCAGAAACAAAACAAATATTGAGCTACATTAGAGAGTGCTGGAAAGGTACGGGAAATGGACTGATAAAGATGCAGCGGCCTACATGAAAACGTACAAAATGGGAGGAAAGGAGTGATGGAACTGATTAGTTTAAATATTGATTAATCTCTCAATCCTGTTTTTAAATTGATGAAGTACTCATCTACTCACTCATAAAATCACAGAAAACAGTAAAAAAAAAAAAAAAAAAAAAAAAAAATCACATTCAAATTGCTTGTTTTGTCTGACCAACAGTGCAAAAACCAAAGATATTGTTTACAATAATATAAAAAGCAACCAAGCCTCTTGAGAAGCTGGAATCAGCAATCAGTTTTTTAGTCGTTTTATGTCATAAGTGACAAGCAATTTATCAGTTATTAAAGTTGTATGTGATTAACTGACTAATTACAGCGCTAGGAAAGAGTATGGTGTTGAGATGAGTTGGAGGAGAACAAATAGGAAAGACAGCTTATCAGCTAGACAGTATTAGACATAAAATAGATGAAGAGGAGGAAAAGAGCATGGGAAACAACAGGCCGGTGCACAGGGGACCTTAATGTCACCCTGACAACTGGGAGAGCTATATCTGGACAGCAACTCCACATGAAAAGAAAGTGGTCACAAAAAGCCAAATACCAGTCACTCACTCTCTTAAGGGCGATCTACTCTGCACAGTCACTTAAATCTGATCCAGGAGCTTATAAGGGGCACACAAAAACTTTGGTTCAAAACATCTGACCTGTACGCCAACCTGATCACCTGGTATATCTTTGACATTTATGCAAAAATAACAACTTGTCTAACTCTGAGTTAAAAATTAGGCAAATGCATAGAGAGTCAGGCTGCTGAGTTACTGACTGTCATGACCCTTAAAACAGCGATCCAGAGGGAAGGTTAAAATAATTATCCCCGACTGCAAATTCCCATCGGCAAAATCAAAAGCTTTTGGCTTTAAAGAGTGCCGTTAAGTTGCTGATACAGTAAAACAACAGATGCATAGGAGGGGACTTAATGCAATGCTAACCTGCATTTTGAATCCAACTGAATTAATTTTAATATCTTAAAAAACATATTTTTGTCTTTAAGTAGCAACCAGATTGGCTTTTTAATCCGACGTCTGCTGCAAAATTCCCTCTCTTAGACAACCCACAGTCCTGAGTTTTGAAGAACAGCCTCTGAATGTGTAACTGAAATCTGGAAGAGACAAACTAAAGGAGTGTATGTTTACTGATTAAACTGTTTTACCTTCATTGTGTAGCAGGTTACTGGTTATGAA